TCAAAGCAATTTCACTAAAACAAGAATCAAGACAAAGCTGTTCACTCTCTCCATGCCTATTCACTATGGTACTTGAAGCTCTAGCTGAAGCGATAAAACAACTGAAGGAGATAAGGGAACACAAATTAAAAAGACAGAAGTCAAAGTATCACTATTTGCATATGATTGATAGTATACATAAGCAACTCCAAAAAGTCTACCAGGGAATTTTTACAGCTAATACATACCTCTAGCAAAACGGCTGGATACAATACTAACAACAACAACAACAAAAAAATCAGTAAACCTCCTATATACAAAGGAGAAATGGATTGAGAAAGAAACCAAGGAACAACACCCTCACCTTTCACAATAACCACAAAAGAGAATACCTTGGAGTAACTCTAGGCAAACAAGAGAAACACTTGTATAACAAGAACTTCAAGTCTTTGAAGGAAGAAATTGAAGAAGATACACAAAGTTGGAAACATCTCCCATGCTCATGAACTGATAGAATTAGCAATAGTAAAATGTCATTTTATCAAAAGCAATCAACAGATTCAATGCAATCCCCCTAAAATTTTCAGCACAAATCTTTACAGACCCTCAAAGAACAATGCTCAACTTTATATTTTAAAAAAACCACCCAGGATAGCTATAACAATCAAATACAACAAAAGAACTTAGAGAGGTATCACCCTCTCTGAGTTCAAACTCTACTACAGAGCTACAGTAATTAAAAAACCTCATGGTATTGGCATAAAAATGAACAAGTAGATTAATGGAATCAAATCAAAGACTCGCATATACAATCACACACTTACAGACACCTGGTTTTTGATAAGGAATCCAGAATTATGTAATGGAAAAAAAAAGGAAGCATCTTTAACAAATGGAGCTGGCATAAGTGGATGTTAGCATGTAGAAGAATGCAAATAGATCCATATCTATTACCCTGCTCAAAACTCAAGTTCAAGTGATCAAAAACATCAATATAAATCCAGTTACACTGAACCTAGTAGAATAGAAAGTAAGAAATAGCCTCGAACACTTTGGCATAGGAGATAACTTCCCGAATATAACATCAGTAGCACTGAGAGCAATAATAAATGGGACTTCATGAAACTGATAAGCTTCTGTAAGGCAAAAGACACTGGCAATAGGACAAAATGATAGCCTATAAAATGGGAAAATATCTTCACCAACCCCACATCTGACAGAGGGCTGATCTCCAAAATATATAAAGAACTCCAGAAACTAGACATCAAAAAACAAATAATCCGATTAAAAAATGGGGTACAGATCTAAACAGAATTCGCAACAGAAGAATCTCAAAAAGCCCAGATATACTAAAAGAATTGTTCAACATCCTTAACCATTAGAGAAATGCAAATTGAAACAACTCTGAGATTCCATCTTACTCCAGTCAGAACAGCTAAGATAAAAAAAAAAAAACACTAGTGGCAGCTCATGCATGTGTTGATGTGGAGTAAGGGAAAACTCCTCCAATGTGGTGGAAAGACATATTTGTACAGCCCCTTTGAAAATCAATATGGCAGTTTCTCCGAAAATTGAAAATTAATCTACCTTAAAAGACCCAGCTATACCACTCCTGAGCATATACTCAAAAGGCACTCCATCCTACCACAAAGACACTTACTCAGCTATGTTCATAGTAGCTTTATTCATAATAGCTAGAAACTGGGAACAACCTAGATGTCCCTCAAAGAAAAGTGGATAAAGAAAATCCATTTACACAATGGATTATTATTCAACTGTTAAAAAAGAAAATTATGAAATTTGCAGGCAAATGGGTGGAGACAGAAAAATCATTTTGAGTGAGGTAACCCAAACCCAGAAAGACAAAAATGGCATGTACTTGTTTATAAGGGGATATTAACTATAAGGTAAAGGACAATCATGCTACAGTCCACAGACCCAGAAAGGTAAAGAAACAAGGAGACTCAAGGGCAAATGCATGACTCTTTCGGGGAAGGGGAAATAGAACAGATATTGTGGAGGCAAGTAGGGACAGGCAGCAGGAGGGATCATGTAGGGGGAAGATAGAGAGAGGGGGAGTACTGGGAGAAACAACTTGAATTTGGGGGACAATTCTGGGGCAAGGTAAGAAACCTAGTGCAATGAAAACACCCAAAAATCCATTAGGGTGACGCACGTTATGACTCCTAATAATGGGGGATATGGAGTTTGAAATGACCATCTCATAAAACCAGGTAAGGTCTCCAGTGGTTTGGGACTCCAACCTAGCCACAAAGCCTTTGCGCTACAACTTGTCCTGTTAGCAAGACGTGCTGGGGCAAAGGTGGCACAGAAATTATGAAAGTGGTCAACCAATGACAAATCCTGCTTGAGACCCTTGTCATAAGAGTGAGCCTATCCCTGAAACTGCCTGGAAGATCAGAAAGCAGAAGCTGGACAGCCCAGAGACCAAGGATACAACAAAACAAGCCATGTGGAAAGAAGTAAATCAAATGATTCCTAATGATATTCAGCTATATTCAAAGACAGGAGCCTGGCATAATTACCATCAGAGAGGTTCCATCCGGCAACTGATGGAAATAGATGCAGAGACCCACGGCCAAACATTAAGCAGAACTCTGAATCCTTCAGTAGATGGGGAGCAAGGATTGTAGGAGCCAGAGCAGTCAAGGACACCACACAAAACCTAACAGAATCAACAAACTTGGGCTCACAGAGACTGAACTGACAACCAGGGAGCCTGCATGGGACTGACCTAGGCCCTCTGTATGTGCTATAGTTGGTAACTTGATGTTTTTGTGGTACTCTTAACGGGGATCAGGGAGGAGTCTGTTTCTGACTCTTTTGTCAGCTCTAGGGATCCTTTGCCTCCTACTGGGTTGTCTCATTCAGTCTTAATATGAGGACAGATGCCTAATTGGACTATGCAATATTTGGCTGATATTTCTGAGAGGCCTAGTCTTTTCTGAAGGAAAGTGGGAGAGACAAGGGACTACGAGGAGAGGAGGGAGGTAAACTGTGATCAGGATGTAATATATGAAAAAATAAATTAGTAAAAAAAAATTTAAATGTGAACTTCTGAAGCCAGAAGTATAGCAGGGAACTCCCTGCATGGTAGTCTAGAAGAGTCATTGGGTGAAGCCCTGAAGGTGAAGCCTGGATTGTGTTAGAGACCCCAAGATGCAGGAAATGTGAGAGTCAAGGATGGCTATATACAGAGACTTCATCACAAAAGTGATGTGACTTCATCACAAAAGAATGAAGTGTTTTGCAGTCAGAAAGCTAGAAGGGCAAAGTGATTTAAGCCCTTTGACATCAGACATGGAATTAAATGATTTGGTGTTGGATCTGTTAGGTTTCAGTCTTGACTTTATAGCAGGTAATAGTTAAGGGATCATCTTAATCTTAGAAGAGGCTGGACTTTTAAATAGTGTTGAGACTAAAAGACTTTGAGGACTTTTGAAGTTGGACAGGATGTACTTTGCACTGCAATATGGACACAAGTTCATGAAGGCTAGGGAGTAAAATATGGTGGTTTGAATGAGAATGGTCCCCACAGGCTCATATAATTAAATGCTTGGTCTTGGTGAAACTATTTGAGAAGGATTAGGAGGTGTGGCTTTGTTGGAGAAGGTGTGTCTCTGTGGGTAGGCTTTGAGAGAGTTCTCTCTCTCTCTGTCTCTCTGTCTCTCTCTCTTTCTCTCTCTGTTTCTGTTGCTTGCTTGTAGATCAGATGTAAGCTCTCAGCTACTTCTCCAGTACCATGCTAGCCTGCCCATTGCTATGCTACCTTCAATAATGGCCATGGGCTCTAACCCTCTAGAACTGTGATCCCAGATTAAATGCTTCCTTTTGTGAGTTGTCTTGTTCATAGTGTTTTGGCATGGCAATAGGAAACAAGAAATCAAGCCTCAGTGAAAAATTCTTTTCCAGTACCATGACTGTTCATTCTGGTTTCTTCCCTGAGAGAATGCTCCTGCTATGCCTCTTCTCGGGGAGTATAGGAAGACTCTTTCCCTGGCCCTACAGGACAGGGTATATTTGAGGATGCAAGGTTCAAAAGAACAAAACCAAAAACTTTTCCATAGATGGAATTTTACTGTTGCTTCACTTTGGCTGAACTGAAAACTGAATCTCTGCTTAGGAAGATAGGGCACATGTAGTCTTCACACATTTGCTTCCTGATTGTTTTTCTATACTCCAAAATGAATCCAATATGAGGCAACAGTTTTAAAAATAGAATTTGGGCTTCTCTGCATTTTACATAAAACCAACACTCTTATTGGAAAGAAAAGTAGGAAGTTTAAATGCATCCTTATTTTTTATTCTATATCGTCAAAAGGAGTTTTATCATTCAGCATAGAAGCTTTCTTTGGAAGCGATATAACACATGGATAACTAAAAATTTATGAAACATCTAATAATTTTCACAATCTCAAATATCCTTATTAAGGGATGAAAGAGAGCTGTTAGTGTTTCCTCTATGTCAGGGTGGTAGAAGAATGGTGGGGAGGCCAGCCACCTCATCCAGAAAGCCAATTTCACTTCACATATTCCGAGTCTTATCAGTGGACTAGGAGTAGTTTTTATAAACAAAGAATTTTCGCAACTGACTGCAGTGAAAAGTGAACTGAACCAGGCACATTCTTAGTGCTTCAAATACCATGTGACTGTTTCCACCCGATTAACAGACATTCACGTGTTTCCCAGCATCCAGCAGTTCCCAATTCTAACGTCCCCTATGCCTACAGCCTCAACTCCTAACCAAGGCATGAAGATGTATAGTACACACAGCAATGAGGAGGAGTTGAAGGTACTAGAGCCACCAAAATGCACGTTTTCCTTCATTTCAAAACACAGAAAGAAGAAAAGGCCATCTTCTAAGAGTAACTTTGATCAAAAGATGGCATGTCATCTACCACCATGAGCAAAAGTATCTCCATCAATGACATCGTGAAAAGTCTTAACTAACCTTTGTTGCGACACCCAAAAACCATTAGTGTGCCCTATTTGCAACTTACCTACATGCAGCCTGTGGACGGTGAGTAATGTGTAGTCAGTAGAAGAAACATTACACAAGTATTCCCCACTGTCTGAAGCACGAAGATCTTTCAACATTAGGGAGAAATATCTCAGCTCTTTATTCCCTGAGAATTGAGGGTCATTAGTAGTTGTGTCCTGTGAAGAGTTCGGATGCCAATCCAAGATCGAGGGTGCCCCATTTACTACCTTGGACCAAGAAACTTGGAAATCTTGATTTAGTAGAGAAAAATTGCGGCTGGTTGTACACCAGAGAGAAATAGAGTCACTTTCATTCTTCCGATGACTACCTAACAACAGAAACAAAAAGGAAACTAGTAAAGATGAAACTGTTGGCTGGATTTTGTAAATTTCCTTAAGATTAGGAAAGAATACAAGCTACATTACTGATGTCTGTGGGAAAAGCATTCTGGTGTCTGTATTGTAGAGTTTCACACACGAGAAACTGCCCTGGTTCTAGTTTAAAATTTCCCTCTAAGGTTATAGTAGACCTTCAAGTTGTGCTAGAGTGGGGTCTTCCAGGGAGGAAAATTCCTGGATTTTAGCTCTTCTACCCTGAAGAAGCACTCTGGAGCATTGGACCTGCTGCTAAGTTGGCAGTCCAAGATCAATTCCCAGGAGCCACGTGGTAGAAGGAGAAAACCAATTCTTGCAAATTATTCTCTGGCTTCCTCATGCTCAATCTAGCATTATGTTGCCCCCAATCAGTAAAATAAAAATGTTCTTAGAGATCAATATTTAAAGCCCAACAATAATTACAGTTAAACTTAATAAATCTTTCAACTGGAGAGAATCAGGGGCTGTGATCTGCTAAAAGACACATATTCCTGTGCAGGTGGGAAATCCTGTTTAGAGGAGGAACCATAGAAGAATAAACATTCATGGACAGATCTCCAGTGTTTTCACTCAGTGTAAAAGTACCCACTGAGGTACTATTTTATGAATAGGAGCTGATTCTCAGAACCAATGTGGTCAAATTATCCCTTCTGCAGATTAGTTTTCTTTCTTGTTTCCTTGTAGATCTATCCCCAGCACCTCCCAGCACCAAATACAGCACTGTACACAGAAAGTCCAGTGGAACCTACCTGCCAATGTCCACTCTCCTCTCCATGTTTGATTGAGAAGTGAATTTTCAATAGTACACTCAAAAGATGAATTTGATCCTGTAATATTCAGTGTACTACTAATATTAAAAGGGCCCAGAGCTCTGGTTTCTTGTAAACTGCTGTTAGAGACATTTGTATTGTCCATTTTCCACGTGATGTGTGGATAAGGGTAAACACTCGGGATACTGCATACCAGAAAGCTCTCTGTGTCTCTCTTTTCATATGTTATTAAAGGTGTGTGAAAAGCTGCACAAAACAAACAGTGAGTTATAAAGAATTGTTTTTTATCAATACCTTTGTAATAAAAGCTAAATTTTTATGAACAAAATCTCTCAAATACTTAAAGAAAAAATAAACCCAAACAAAACTAAAAAAGATGATGATTGTGTATTGTTGTCCAAGAAGTATAGAAAGAAGATGCATGATATACAACAAACAACCACTATTCTCTGGAAACTTCTCTGACAAATTTAATGGCCTCACTAAGCAAGGAAATGGGGTCAAAATCTATAGAGTTCAGGCAGCAGTCCGGACTTCTTAGCTACTGAATCAGCCAACTTAAGTTTTATTTTTTAAAATACAATTTTGAGTCAAGATATAAAACAGTTAAGTGAGTCAGAGGAAGAAAGAATAAGAATTAAATTTTAAAAATATATTAGATAATATCCCCCTGACGCATACAGTACTGAACAACACTCTATTATACAGAACACTCTAGCTGTGCACACACTTACATGCACTCATATTCACTTGCCAGAGTACTTAAAAAACGTGATTTTTCTTCCGGTCCACTAATGTATAGCAAATATTGCAATAGAATAAGTCATATGATTTTTGTGATTTCCTGAAGCATATGAAAGCAGTTCTACATTATATACAAAGTCATTTACAGATGCAATAGTTTTATAATTGCTTTGTTTCATTTGAAACAGATTCTCTTCATGGAGTAGTCTGCCCTCAAGTTATGGATCCTATTTTCTCTTTTTCTCTTTCTCTCTCTCTCTCTCTCTCTTTCTTTCTTTCTTTCTTTCTTTCTTTTCTCCCCTTCTTCTTTTTTTCAAGGCAGAGTTTCTATATGTATTCCTGGCTGTCCTGCAACTCACTCCGTAGACCAGGCAATCCTTGAACTTACAGAGATTCACCTGCCTCTGCCTCGCTGGTGCTGGGATTAAAGTGTGCCCCTCACCACCACCCAGCAATAGATCCTATCTTTTCAACCTCCCTAGTGCTAAGATTATAAGTACATGTCACCATCTTGTGTTCTATAATAATAGCATTATGTCTTGAGATCTATTCTCAGCATTTGAGATATCTAAGTCACAAGCTTCCTCTCAAGGCTCAGTGGCCGTAGTAGAAGTAAAGAAAAACTGTAAAAATTACAGGTTGTGGAGGACTGAGGTAAAGTAGTGTCTTCTGGACATGACAGAACAATTGCATTCATGAACTTACAAAAGCTATGGTCGCTGCACAAGACCTGCAAAAGATCAAGCCAGTGTGGGGAAGGCAAGGCATGAGCCTCCATGCAGGCTGAGAAGCTACTGTTGATGAGGCTAGGGAAGGGATCATTTTTTTTTCACGAGTATGACCCCCTAGTAGGTTGACCATGATCTACTAGATGGCCCCATACTCATACATATACGGGAAGCACTAATTACATACAGTGGGTTATTTAAAAAGAAAAAACAAACAGGAAGTTGGGAAGGGAACATAGATCCAAGAGAAGTTAGAAACGGGGAAGGGGATTAGATATGATCAAAATACATTGCAAATTTGTATAAATAAAAACAGTATATGTATTTATAACTACAAATTACCACTGAACTAACAACAAATTCATAATAGCAGCAAAATTGACTGTGAAATAAAGAATACTATCTAACGACCATGTCAACATTAACATATCATATCAATAAGAATTCTTGGTAGTATGATTAATTATGAATAGGCCACAATATTATTTCTATTATTTCTTAAGTCTAAATTGCATTTTAGTTTAATTAAACACAAACTTAACCATTGGCAACCATGAGTACATTAATCAAATAGTATGGTTAGAGTTACAAACATAGTTACTGCAGAGAAGATAAAGTGATGCAATACCAACAGTAACTTCTATTTTACTTCAAAAGGATCAACATAGAACCTAGACAACAAAGAGGACTCCAAGAGATACATACATAGATCTACATAAGAAGAAGAAGAAAAAGACAAGATCTCCTGAGTAAAGAAGGGGAGCAGACAAAAATGTAAAGGTCAATAAAAACAATTAAAAAGACAACTTAAATTCACTATTTCCTGTCACCATGTTGGAAGAGATGTTTAGGGCTGATAATATTCAGTGCTGGTAGAACTACTAAGGAAATGAATTACTTAGCTGCTAATGTTATTGGAATCTTAAAACCTTACTTCTTTTATTTCAGATAATTTGTCATCATTTTATGTAACTATAAAGACATGTACCATAAAAGAGTCTGTGATTAAAAAAAAAAACACTGGACACCCCAAACACTCACCAACATGGGGAATGGATATATCAATCATAACAGACCCAGGCTATGAGACATTGTACACTGGGCACTGTCTATGATATTATGCACTGAAATAATGAGGTAGATTTGTAGGAAGTGACTTGAGAAGACCTTACCATATTAAATTCAGAAAAAGCTGTTTCAGAATTATATCAAATTATATCATTACGCCTTATTAAAATTTGCATGCTCACTTACCTCCCACTTTTAGCACCACTGTGTTTCTAGTATGTGTACTTGTTGTTCCCACGTAGCAGATATAAATTCCTTCATCCTGAAGACTCAATCTTCTAACAGTTAAAGAGGCATTTCCATTGCTAATTTCACTAGGAACGAGGGATGTCCTGTTTGCATATCTAAAATACTGATTTTCCAATTGGTCCTTGCCACTGTAGTAACTGTGAACATAGTTATCTTGATTTATCCAGTGAATTACAACTTGAGACCCACTCGTAAACAGGCAAGGGAGAATGACATCTTCATCATATCTTCCAAGAATGAGTTGCTCGTTATCACTGTTACGGTGACTCAAGAGGACTGGGAAGAATAGGTCTAACATGCAGAGCAGAGACAAAATGAACAGGTTAGTGGCAGGTGCTTGTCAGGGTTTATGTCAGGACTGCCTGAGTGAACCTTCTAGAAGAACAGCCTGACTACATCTCAAGAAGCTCTGGTTTGCTAGTCATTGAAAACAAACCCTGACACTGTGGTGGAGTATTTTCCCTTTCAGTTGAACTGAGTCAAAATAACTGTGAGATTGGTAAAGTCCAAGGCTTAAGCATATTAGTTTGTGACCCTCTTGACCAGCAGTCTGTCTCTCTCCAAATCACTGCTGTGGTACTGGGAAGAGTGAATTCATAAGAATTCGTCTTTGATAGCTACTGCAGTATTAGTAAGTTTTGAAGCTAACTAGATCCAGAAGACCCTAAAACTGGGAAGAAATTAGTTTTACTTAGCCAATAAGTACATGCAAAATTTAGAAGACAATTCTGGGTTCAACAGTCAGGTAGTAATCTGGAAGACAGTCTCAGTCCAAGAGGACACAAACCGGAGACCAAAAAAAGAGAAATGAATTATTTCATTGACCTACTTTCTTCAGCTAAGATCCTGCTCAGTGTGGTCTGGACAATGACCTGCAATAGTCGTACCTTTTGGGTTCAATTAAGTGACTATTAAACATGTAGCAAGCAAAAGTAAAAGAACAAATAAGTAGCAGCAGGCAGATAAATCCGAAGACAGAGAGCACAGCGCCATCCCTCATGTGCTTATAGAATCAAGCAGAAATAACTCGGGCCACCAGAGTGAGAGAGTAAACAAAGGTAACACCCTCAAATCAGTGCTGGAGGTCCCAGCTGAGAGTCTCCCCATTGATAAACTTCTAGTTTCCTGTTTCCACTGAAAGTGTTTTGTGTGTGTGTGTGTGTGTGTGTGTGTGTGTGTGTGTGTGTGTGTGTGTGT